CTCACTGCAACCTCTGCCTCCTGGGTTCAAGCAATTCTCCTGCCTCAGCCTCCCGAGTAGCTGGGACTATAGGCGTACACCACCACGCCCAGCTAATAGTTTTATATTGTTGTAGAGGTGGGGTTTCACCATATTGGCCAGGCTGGTCTCGAACTCATGACTTGTGATCTGCCCTCCTTGGCCTTCCCATCTTAGGCATTTTTAAGTACACAAAAGTATATTCACATTGCATGAAACCAGTCTCCAGAACATCTTTGCACTCATGAAACAACTCTGCATTTCCCTGTCCCTCCAGCCTTAGCAGTTCCTATCTTAAGTTTTGTTTTTATGAATGACTTTGGATACTTCATATAATATCACTTACTTTAAAAGATCCAAAGGTATCCCTAGGATGGGTGAATTAGCCACCCGATTTAGTGTGTGCCTAAACACTCTTCCCTGCCATACATTCATTCTGACACTATGTTCTGCGGGATGCGTTTGGGTGTTCGGGAGACTCTGTTGAACGTGTTTTTCTATTGGATTGGTTGCCTGTTTATTAGCTTGTTGAAGTTCTTTATTGAGAATCGTGTGCTACAAATACATTTTTTCTGTTTGTGGCTTGCCTTTTTAGTCTCTTAATGCTGTCTTTTGACACCAGAACTTTAAATGTGGTCAAATATATTAGTGTTTCCCTTTATGGTTATTGCTTCTTAATTGCCATTTATGGCATCTTTTCCTAATTTGATGTCCTAAAGATATATTTCTGTTATCTGCTAGATCAGTGCCATGCAATAAAAATATGAAGTGAGACATGTATTGCCTATTTAGACTAAATATTGTGTATCTAGGCTAAATATCTAGTGTCCACATCAGAGAGAAAAAGGAACCTGATAAAGCTAATGTTAATAATGTTTTATTTAACTTGGTATATCCAAGTTATTTTACTTTCAAAGTTTCAATATAAAAATTGACACATGGCTGGGCATGGTGGCTCATGCCTGTAATCCCAGCACTTTGGGAGGCTGAGGCGGGCAGATCACATGAGGTCAGCAGTTGAAGACCAGCCTGACCAACATGGTGAGACTCTGTCTCTACTAAATACAAAAAATTAGCCTGTCGTGGTGGAGCATGTCTGTAATTCCAGCTACTTGGGAGGCTGAGGCAGGAGAACTGCTTAAACCTAGGAGATGGAGGTTGCAGTGAGCCGAGATTGCATTATTACACTCCAGCCTGGGCAACAAGAGTGAAACTCCTGTCTCAAGAAAAAAAAAAAAAATTGAGATATTTGACATTGTTCTTTCTACTTAATTTATTTATTTTCTCCTGCCTCAGCCTCCTGAGTAGCTGGGATTACAGGCACCTGCCACTGCTCCCGGCTATTTTTTTTTTTTTTGGTATTTTTAATAGAGATGGGGTTTCACTGTCTTGGCCAGGCTGGTCTCGAACTCCTGACCTCGTGATCCACCCACATTGGTCTCCCAAAGTGCTGGGATTACAGGCGTGAACCACCGTACCCAGCCCGTTTTTCCTACTGTTTAAAATTCTAGCGGGGCGGCAGCAGGGGCGCCTCTGGAGGCCGCAGTCCAGGTCCTGGCTTCGGCCCCAGCCCCACCATGGTGACCCTTACTGACCTGCTGGTGCTCCTGGCCACGCTCCTGGCCATGGTCTCAGGCTACTTTATTAGCATCAACCCACATGCCGAGGAGTGCTGCTTTGAGCGGGTCACCTCGGGTACCAAGATGGGCCTCATCTCTGAGGTGGCGGAGGGCAGCTTCCTGGACATCAATGTGGAGATAATAGGACCAGATAATAAAGGGATTTACATAGGAGACGGAGAATCCAGTGCGAAATACACATTTGCTGCTCACATGGATTCCAAAGTTTGTTTTAGTAACCGGATGTCTACCATGACTTCAAAAATAGTGATGTTCACCATTGATACTGGGGAGGCTCCAAAAGGACAAGACATGGAAAAAGAAGCCCACCAGAACAACTTAGAAGAAATGATCAGTGAGCTAGCAGTGGCGATGACAGCTGGAAAGCACAAACAGGAATACATGGAAATCGGGAGAGGATACATGGAGCCATCAACAACAACACAAACAGCAGAGTGGTTCTTTGGTCCTTCTTTGAAGCTCTTGTTCTAGTTGCCATGACATTGGGACAGATCTACTACCTGAAAAGCTTTTTTGAAGTCCAGAGGCTTATTTAAGAAGCCTCTTCCTGGCTGGTCACGGTGGCTTACGCCTGTGATCCCAGCAGATCACAAGGTCAGGAGTTCAAGACCAGCCTGACCAACATAGTGAAACCCTGTCTCTACTAAAAATACAAAAATTAGCTGGGCGTGGTGGTGTGAGCCTGTAATCCCAGCTACTCAGGAGGCTGGGGAAAGAGAATCCCTTGAACCCAGGAGGTGGAGGTTGCAGTGAGCCAAGATCACACCACTGTACTCCAGTCTAGGTGACAGAGACTCTGTCTCAAAAAAAAAAAAGGCCTCTTCCTGATGATCCTAAACTCTGAATTCACTGTTTACCAAACATCTTGGTCATAATAATATCATTAGTTTCTCCATTTTTATTTTCTGAACTATACATTCACAACTTATGTTTCTTTGTGATTAATAGATACTGGGATATTGGAGGGGGGGGAAACACCTTTTCAGGAAAGTTATAGTGAAAATTTGACAGTTGATTGGCATAATTTCTTATTTGAATGCTCCCTCCATTAAGTGAAATATGGGGTATAGTTTTTTATTATTTCTTCTTTTTGTTTTCACAATAAAATGCAGTTTGTTCAGGAAGTCAGCACGAAGCCTGTACTGTACTAAAGTGACTGCATTCTTTGGACTCCCTCAATTTGTGGTTCAGGTCACTAAGATTTTGTTGAGTCCTTACGAGAAACAACAGTATGAATCTTGATGGTTTCTGCCCATCCTAATGGCAGAGCTCTCTGACTTGGGCATATGCTGCCAGGCTGGGTACTTTTCTACTTTGTTTTCTTGTTTTGCTTTAAAGCTACAACTCAGCATACATTTTGCCCCATACATTTTTACATTGAACCTTAGGACTCAGTCACCTCCAGTTAAATTGATGACACAAGTAGCTAATAATCATTTTTGGGTTTCTGCCTGACCTTCTAATTGTCTGTTAAAGCTAGTTCCCTGGGTGAGAGAATTGAAATGACTTTCTCTTGTTCTCTGATGATGGGTTTAAAATTGCCAGTGAGTGGTGGCTCTTTTTTTTTCCACACTGGCACATCCACTTCCCTCACTCTTGGCACATAAGAAACATGCATTTACATAATTGGAAAAATCTGGATTTCTGATGCCAAAGGGTTGAAGCCTCTTGGATTTCATTGCAGTGATATATAGCCACCATTTTATTTTTGATCAGCGGTCTTTGTTTTGGGCATCAGTGTCCGCCCCAGGGTTTTTGTTTCGGTCTTTCTTTAGGTCTTTCTTTTTCAACACATGTAAATTTTGCTTTGTGTAAAATGAAATGACTTTCTCTTGTTCTCTGATGATGGGTTTAAAATTAGAAGAGCCTCTGGTTTTGGTATGGGGACAATCCAGGATTACATTATGACTCATATATATTAGTTGTACTTTTTTTTTTATCTTTGCAACGGGAAAACTACAAGTAATGACTTTTACATAATTAAGTTTGTTACAGGTTTTCATGTTCAGGATAAACAATTTTTCAACCTTGAGTGAGAACACTTGCAACAGTTTATTGAGAAGGTGACTTTCACCTCAGGAGAACTGTTGTATGCGTGCGTGTGTGTGTGTGTGTGTAACACTTCAAAATTGATTTAAAATATGTAAACAAAATTGGTTGTATCTAACATGTCTCAGATTTGGTAAATAGATAATTCTTTTTAAAAACAACAACAAAATTCCAGTGTAAGTTCTACACTTAATAGCACGTCTCAAGTGTTCAGTAGCCATGCATGGGCAGAGCAGTGTGGCAGTCCTTGTGCTCTGGATCTGTGGCATTTGTCTGCTTGTCTGTGTTTTCCCCACTCCTACACTATCTTAATTACTATAATTTTCATGATGAGTTCTGATATCTGGTAGGCAAAAATGTCTTAGGAGAATGTGGACTAACCTTGGCTTTTTGCATTTCTGTATAAATTTTAGTTGTCAAATTCTCAAAAATATAGTGAGATTTTAATTGAGATTCTGTTGAATCTAGATATCTAAAGTCCCTGCCGTGGTTCTGGAATCCTAGGGTGAATACAAATAAATTCTGGAATAAACAAGACCCAAAAAACATGAACAAAATCAAAACTGAGTCTCGCTCTGTCTCTAGCAGGGGCCTTGTGCCCTGTGAGCTCTCAGAGGTAATGGTTCTTGCCCTTACTTTAACCCAGGGCAGGACTTACCCTCCTTGAGAACAGATGAGGTGCTTCCCACTCCTCATTCACCTCTACTTTCTCTGTCTCTGGCCCTGTGGTTTGTTCTGTGGCTACAGACTGAGTTCCATGGAGAAGCCAGGGACAAATGTAGAAGCTTAGGCCATCTGGCTGATCAGGCAGGGAAGGAAAGGAGCAGACTGTTTAGAGAAAGAAAATCAAAGAGGATTAACAAGATGGGAGTGAAGGCAAAATACAGATAGCAGTAGGTGACCAGGACCTGGCCATGGAAAGGACTCCCGTGACTTACTGAGGCTGAATGCAGGTTTGCCATTGTCTCGCTTCTCTTTGTCCACCAGGTCAGGCTGCTGAAGCCATGGTCCTGGCCATTCTGAACTGCACCAAAACTGCTCCAGGAGCAGGAAAAACATCTCCAAGATGAGATCTTTGAATCGCCAGGTCTGGTTGCAGGTGGCAGGGCTGGAGGCTGAGTTCTAGAAAGAAGGGCTACAAGGAGGAGTAGGGGGATCGATAGGGGAGTGACAGGAAAAAGTTCAGGGACCACAGCATTCGCAAACAGAGCTAGAAGTAGTAGTAGAGGAATAGATAAAGGAGTCACAGGAAAGAGTTCTGGGACTAGAGTATTGGGAAGTAGTAGGGTTAGGATGAGGAGTAGGCAGATAGACAGGGGAGTGACAGGAAGGAGTTCTGGGACCACAGCATTGGCAAGCAGGGCTAGGAGGAGGAGTAGGTAGATAGATAGGGGAGTCACAGGAAAGAGCTCTGAAACCACAGCTTTGGCAAGCACGGCTAAGAGGGCTAGAGGCATAGATAGGGAAATCGCCAGAAAGAGTTGTGGGACCACGGCATTGGCAAATAGATAGTCTGTGATGAAGAGCAGAAGAGCAGGGCAGGAAGAGTTTTAGGGTAGGGTAGTGGGGAGGGCAGGCATGAGCCACAGTGGGATAACAGTGAGAGCAGAAAACTGAAAAATCTACATACTTTTGGAGAGGAGAAAGAGTCTTGGCAGATTGAGGAAAAAGGGGGGGTAAGTGGGTTGCCTTAGGAGAGCGGGTTGGATTACAAGGGTGGCATGGATTAGGAGGGTGCGAAATCAAACTGGGTATCGGGCGGGGTGGAAATTGAGAAATTGGAGGGAGCCTTCTTGTCATTTCTTCATTGAGAATTCTGGTTAAGCACTTGTCCCAGTGAGTCCAAATGAGTAACTGGGGTGTTGCCCAGACCTACTCCAGCATTTATCTCATGCCCACCCCTCGCATCATACCATGTCTGAATGCCCATTATGATGCCTATGTGCCCCTCCCTTTTGGCCTAGGGAGAGGATCCCAGTCTCTAGGTTTAAGAGTATCATGGCAAATAGCAAAGAGAAGAAATGGGGGCTGTAATATTAGTCCCCGTTCTGGGGATACCATATAGTTATGCCTTTCAGTAGGCAAAGTTTGATTAAACGGCCAAGAAGGAGTTAGGGGCTTGGGGCCTAGGAGAGTGGTTCTGAAGCAGGACTTGGGAAAATGGGAAGAAGTCAGTGCTCCAGTCTTTCACTTACATTTTTCAAAGTACTTTCACATCATTTATTTACTGTAGGAATATATGTGATTAGAGGAGAGATGCTATGTTCACTGTATCAACGAGGACACTGAAGACCAGAGAGGAAGCTGCCATAGGAGGGGGTGACAAAGCAAGTGGGACTAGAACTTGGGCCAAAAGGAGGAGCAGGTGGGAGGGAGCACAAAATAGCCCAGAGTGCTGACCAGCAGCCTCAACTGCTCCTGTCTCTCTGGACAGGGTCCTGCAGGGGGCGCTTCAGAGCACAACTTGACTTTCTGTAGTAACCTCTTGGTCCCTGTTCCCCTGTCCTCTTAACAGGAACCATAAACATAGGGCCGATGCTAGCAGGAGGACTGCCCACTCCTGGACACGTAATGACTAGATTTAGACTTTCTTGCTGAGCTATCTGATTCCATGTGGGATGGCCAAGAAGGCCCCTGCACACTTCTCCATTCTTTTGTCTGATGGAGCAACCCTCTCTGCTGAACATTCCTGGTTTCTGTGATCACTATCCAAACCCTAAGCCCCTTTGTTCTCCCATTCTCTCCTGCACTCTTACCACTATATTCTGAATTCTCTCCCTTGGTCCAGCACCCCTTTCCTCCCACACTGCACAAAACATTCAGTTGTCATCTCTGGAAGTCCAGCTGTATGACAAGCCAATGTCCTGATTTCCTTTGGCTGCTCTATCTTTGACAGTTCCTTGCATCTCCTGGCTATAACTGTAACCTGGATTTCCCTTGAGGGCATTGCTTCCCTTGGATGTCAAGTAGAGATTACACATTCTCTCAAACTCCAAAGTACTTAAAGTACTTCAGGTGGGAATGTGGTTTATAGAGTCTCTTTGCTCCTTCCAATTCCTTGGGAATCATTATTTCTCTCCTCCTATTAGAAAATCTCTTGCTCTTAGAAACATGTGCTACCCACCCCCACTGCTAGTTCCCTGGCACTGCCACCTTCAGATCTCTTGGAAATTTTCAGTGAAAACTTTCACACTTTTCCTAAAGTCTTATACTTGAGTTCATCCTGACTGACTTGAATGTCCATTTAAATGGCCTGATTTAATTCTATGGCCTCTGCTTTTCCTGATTTTTGTTTGTTTGTTTACTTTTAAGAAGTTTTCCATATTTTAGAAGTTTTATTTTAATTGATATGTGATAATTGTGGATATTTGTGGGATACAGTGTGATGTTTCTGTACATGTGTGCATTGAGCAGTAGTCAAATCAGGGTATTTAGTAGATCTATCACCTCAGCACTTAGCATTTCTTTGTAGTGAAAACCTAAGTCTTTCCTTGGAGTTATTGTGAAAGTTTTTTCACATATTCTGAACATTAACTCTCCTTGTTGTATGCATAGTTTGCATTTTGTCACCAAAGTCCATCACCTGCATTCTAGTCCTTTTCATTACCCAAGAATTATCCCACTTACATGCTGTTCTGGCCACTGCCTCCTGTCCTTTTTTTCTTTTCTTTTCTTTTCTTTTTTCTTTCATAACAGGGTCTCACTTTGTCACCCAGGCTGGAGTGCACTAGTGCAATTTCAGCTCACTGTAGCTTCGACCTCCTGGGCTCAAGTGATCCCCTCCCACCTCAGCCCTCCAAGTAGCTGGGTCTACAGGCCCCTGCCACCACACCTGGCTAATTTTTGTATTTTTAGTAGAGACGGGGTTTCACCATATTTCCCAGGCTGGTTTCAAACTCCTGAGCTCAAGCAATCTTCCTGCCTCAGTCTCCCAAAGTGCTGGGATTACAGGCATGAGCCACCACACCGAGCCTAACCACACTGACTCTTTCCTTTATTTTACTCTTTTGAAGAGAAAAACCCAACCTGGTTGATTCCAAGTATTTGCCTTCCCTGTGGTGCTGAATGCTGCTGGACAAAATTTCATACAACCTGAAAATTTTCACAGGTACTGGAAGATTGATACTAGATTAGTTATCTAACCTTTATACTCTATCCTAAATAATATCCACAATACTCAATACCTATGAGAATTTTCATAGAAATACTGTGTATTAAAATAGAAAAAACAATCCGAAAGCTTATAAATAAAGGTTTAAGTAAATTATCATGCAGCCATACCATACAATGTGAAAAGAAAATTTACAAATACAAAAAATAAATAGAAGTAGATAGTTGAGGTGATATTGTGGCAGTCGAGGATGGGGGTGGGTGAATTATTAAAGTTGATAGTTGCTAGCAGCTTAAGTTTTTCTGCCTATCTAGATGCAACTAAACTATTCTCACAGAAGAGGTCTCTAGAATCCGGATTTTTCTTAAATTAAAGTTTATCTTTCCAAATTGAAACCCTGGAAATACATCTTGCCATGGTTTTGAGTCCAAAATTTAAATTACTTAGTGTGGAAAACTACAGGTGGCAATTTAAATTGGTTCCAGGACAGTGTCAACTCAGGTGTTAGGAGGATGCACAGTGTATCACTCTGTAGGAGCATAGCCATAACCTAGGCCCCACAACCTCCCACAGAAAAGCCCCACTTAAGATGACTTCACAATCCACAATTACAAAACACATGAGTAAACAAGTCCCATGAGGGATGGTCAGCAGATACACAAAAGAACAGATTTACACATAATCCACCAAGAGTTTTATATAAGTAAAGGCAAATATAAGGATTTAAAGTATAAAAAAAAAAAAAAAAGATTCTGAAGAACAGATGGCAAAAAAAATGCAGAATGAAAAATATTGTAATTGAAATAATAAAACCTAGTGGACAGGATAAAGTAAAGATTAGACACAACTTTCTAATACCAGAATTAAACAAAGATCATTGAAATACTAACTTAGTGAACAGGATAAACATGACATTAAAAAACCATTAAAGACAGAAAAAGAGAATACATTTGAAGACATTATCAAGAGATAGCAGAAAGAGATGAAAATTTAAAAATATAAAAGGTTAAGAGGTATGTAGGATAGAATATAAAAGTCCAGCATATGTCAGTAGAAAGTACCAGAAGGAAAAACTGGAAAATGAGTAAGAGGAAGCGTTTAAAGTGATACTGGCTGACTTTACTTTAGAAATAAAATAACTCATTTTCAGATTCAGAACACACAGTGATAGCGGAAAACATAAGAAATTCACATGTAGACAAAAAAGTGAAACTTTCAAACATTAAAGACAGCAGAATCAGTAAAAGGATAGTCAGATTATTTATAAAGAAATTAAACTAGAAGCAAACTTCATAAAACAAAAAAGACAAAAGTGAGTGGAATCATATCTTGTAAGTCTTGAGAGGAATTAACTGCCAATCTAGAATTTTATACCCAAATTATCATTCAAAAGTGGGTGCTCAGGAAAGACATGTTCATCATTGAAGATCAAGTCCTAAACAAAGACAGAATTTACTACTAATAAGCCCTCCTTAAAACAATAAAAGAGGCCAGACGCAGTGGCTCACGCCTGTAATCCCAGCATTTTGGGAGGCTGAGGCAGGCAGGTCACCTGAGGTCAGGAGTTCGAGACCAGCCTGACCAACATGGAGAAACCCTGTCTCTACTAAAAATACAAAATTAGCTGGGCGTGGTGGCACATGCCTGTAATTCCAGCTACTCAGGAGGCTGAGGCAGGAGAATCACTTGAACCCAGGAGGAAGAGGTTGTGGTGAGCCGAGATCGCACCATTACACTCCAGCCTGGGCAATAAGAGCAAAACTCCATCTAAAAAAATAATAATAATAATAACCCACACAATAAAAGAAAGAGAAGAAATTTGATCCCAGGAAGAAGAAAATGCAAGAAGCAAGGCTAGAGAGCAAGGGATTCTGAGCTCACATTGGTAAGTAGAAAGCCCCACTCCAGAGTGTCAGCAAAACTTGTTGCAGGATGCATGCACACTGCTGCCAATAGGACTAAGAAGACAAGAATGGGAGAACACAGGAACCAGAAAGAGAAGCCACTTTCCTCTGCAGTGAACCTGTTTCCCCTTACTGACCTAGTATAACGTGGCATTGTATCAGCTGGTAAAGGAGAAATCCAAGTACACAGGATCCAGCTCCAGTATCAATACACAAGACAACCAAGCTGAGTTTTGGAGCTGAGAGGCAGTAAATTCATAACTGGCATAGCAGTGGGTAAAGAAACTGGTAAACACAGGTAAATCTGAATAAGCACCTTAGGAGTATAACCAACTTGGGCAATAGATAACCAACTTGGGCAATAGAAAAATTGAGGTGAAAATAAAATGCTGGACAATAGTAACAGGAAAGAGGAGGAGGTGATTAGTGGTAAATTACTCTTTCTGGCTGGGCATGGTGACTCACACCTGTAATCACAGTACTTGGGAAGGCTGAGGCAGGAGGACTGCTTGAGGCCAGGAGTTTGAGACCAGCCTGACCAACACGGAAAAACCCTGTCCCTACTAAAAATAAAAAAATAAAATAAAAAAGTAACCATGCATGGTGGCACATGCCTGTAATCCCAGCTTCTTGGGAGGCTGAGGCATGAGAATTGCTTGAACCTGGGAGGCAAAGGTTGCAGTGAGCCAAGATCACACTACTGCACTCCAGCTTGAGCCCCCGAGCAAAACTCTGTGTCAAAAAAAAAAAAGAAATACTTTGAAAATTTCTTACGCTTTGCTATA